TGAATGTTGCTGTCTTCCCCAAATCCAAGTGTCAGAAGCCAATACCCAGTGTGACATCATCAGAGGTGGGGCCTTAAGGAAATGACAGAGTCTCAAGGGGTTCACCTCCATGTGTAGCACCTGTGCCCTTACAGGTCCTTGTCCCTTTCTGCCATGTGAGGACAAACGTTCCCCTCCTCTCTCCCACCACGGGAAGATGCAGTGAGGAGGTGCCACATCTTTGAAGCAGAAATCAAGCCCTCCCCAGATACCAAATCTGCTGGCACCTTGGTCTTGGAAGTCCCTACCTCCAGAACTTTATGCTGCATATAAATGACCAGTTTAAGGTATTTTGTTATAGCAGCCTGAGGGGGACTAAGACATTGGGGATGAAAAAGTTACTTGTTGCCACAATAACTTTGGGTAATAAGCAACCATCTGAGCCTATGGTTTATAACGACGGGCGTTACTATTCATGCACCTGTGTCTTGGGCCTGTGCTCAGCACAAGCCTGCTGTCACTTTCCCCTTCACATCAGCCAAAGCCAAAAACAATGTCAAAGGTGAAGGGAAGTCACCCTGAAGAGGCTCAGGATGGGCAGGGAGGAGTGAGGGGGCGAGGATCACAGCCAACAGTACCGTCTACACAGAGAAGAAATGGCAATGGTGACAGGCACTGCTGACCTCGCGGTGCCAGGATCTTTCTTGTCTCTGGGGTCTTGAACTGGTGGTGACAGACTGGACCAGTGGACCCTGGGCATGTCAACTCAAACCCAAGGATGATGGGAAACTTTATTTTTTCTGTAATGGGATTCAGTTCACTCAGTGCCGTTCACCTGGGTGACACCTCTGAACCTCCACCATGATCTACCTCTAGCCTCCAACGGGAGGTGGGAGTTTGACTTTTAAAGAGCTTGCCATGCCATTTCCTTAATTTGCATATAAGTATCTATTCCAAAGAAGCAGCTCTGCGCTGGTCCAGGGTGCCACGAAGATGCTCCATCCAGAGACAGCGAGGGTCTGCTCACCCGAGTCTAGGAGGCTGGAGAGCAGGGCCACACTTGAACTCCTAATCCCATGTCCCAGGAAGGGTGAGGACAGCATCCCGAGGCAGGATTTGACTCATTCGTTCACGCTTATTCGATTCATTGAGCACCTGTGTGCCAGGCAGCGCACTGCACCCAGGAACGGAAGTGCAAACAAGGTCTTGGTGGGGCCCTTAAGGAGTCACCTCCTGAGTAGAAAGCTGCTCTTTGGAAACCATCAATTATGACATAGGGCGGCAGGCTCCAGGGGCTGCATACTAAGCTCCAGGGGCTGCATCTTAGGTCCCAGGATGCAAAGCAGCAAGGTGCTTGTCAGGAAGGTGTCCATGGACAGAAAGGTGTGGTCTTAAAGAGGAGCATGGGTCTCCAGGAGGGGAGGTGGGGGCCCCATGGTTAGCCAGGGAGCAGTGTCTACAGCTCTCTCTGTGCTGGAAATCACAGGCTTCTCAGAGGATCTGTTGAAAACCCTAGGCTCTTTCCTGGGGTCCACATACACCCAAGTGCTTGCCTGCAGTTTCGAGAGGTTCACCAGAATATTCTCTGAGATGCCCTTGGAGTTTCATTCACCGTCTTCCCTGGCCCAGGAGCCGCTGGGTGGCGCCAGGCAGAGCACAGTGCCCAGAGGAGACTGAGTCTTGCCATCTCCTGATTAGCTGGGGCTTGTCCACACCTGCCAGTGCGCTGGCCCGAGTGCCAGGTATCCCCAGGAGCTCAGAGGGAGAGGCAGGGTATGCCCCAACATCTCGGCCCAGGCATGTCCACCAGTGAGACGTGGGAGTGGCTGACTCCTCCAGAGACAGTCACCTCTGAGGGACACGGGTTGACTCTGCAGCACGGCTCAGGAGGACCCCGACCTGTCAGTCACAGGGCCCTCATTTGTATTCTATGATTACTTTCCTCTTAATCTGTCTTATTTCTCTCCCTGTCTCACGGCTGATTGTTCAGTTTCTGCCAAGCAGGAGAAAAGAGCTCAGGATGAACCCAGGACTTCTGCAATGCAAGGCAAGGATTGGATTTTACAGGTCTCTGAAGACTCCTGACAGCAGTCCTTGCACTTGGCTGTGCTCCAGGAGAGATCTGAGAGCGGGATTTCTCGGAATATGCTGCTGACCAGTTTGCTCCGGAATCATCATTGGCTCCCTCTTCCTAACGGCCCGGGTTTGGTCATGGAGCCATTTGTTCTCCAGGGCCCAGAGGGATTAGGCTAACCATCAGCAGCAATAACAACCAAGGATTTTATAAATGCTGGGCAAGGTGCCGTTGGGAGGAACCAGAGGAATTGTAAGTTGGAGAGCCGTCCAACTTGTTCTTACCGTGAGGCCTGTGGCTGGAACAATGACTGCTGACCTCTTTCTTATCTCTGGGGTCTCCCCTGACTGCAGATCTAAATGTGTCCCAGTGACTCTTGACCAATACACTCTGTGTCATTTAACTGTTGGCACTTACTGCAAACTTCAATCATTGACTGTAAATGTGACTGACAGTATTGGTTGTTCTGTGGACTCAAAAGTCCCCAGATTAACCTTTGGGACATTCTGATTTAATTTCTCAGGTTTACCTCTCTACTCGTTACTTTGGTGACTTCTCTTCACACCACACCCCTACACAAATGTGCACATGAAGAACACACACAAATACACAAAGATACACAAACACGTCTCCTAAACGCTACAACACACTCATTCAACAAGTTCCTGTGGCCAAACACAACTACATACACACACACATACGCACGCACCCCTACAGAGAGGGACTCCTCTTCATCTCTGCAGCCAGGAATGCCAAGGAGGATCCCCAGTGGGAGGTGGCAGGTGGTGGGCGGTGCATTGTCTTGCAGAGCTAAGGGCTCAGGTGCACTTAGAGACAAAGTCAAAGTCACCACCCTCAGGTTTTCTGTTGCTAATGAGACCCTCAATGCTCATTTGATCCCAGAGGAAAAGGAGATGGAAATGAGACCCACATGGGCCTGGGCACCTTCCCACCTTAGGGTGGGCAGATGAGTCAGGGCAACAGGAGGTGTGGTGTGGCAACAGGAGTGTTCGAAACTAACTCCAGAGCTTCCTGGCAGCCTTCCCAACCAGTCAGCTGCCTTTGCCACCCGCAGTGGGTAGCCAGAGGGTCCAGGCTCGAGCCTGTGACATCCATCGGGTGTCCTGAAAGATGGCTGCCTGGGTTAGTGTCGCTTCTTTTCTGAGTGACTTTATTAGGCCAAACTGGTTGGTGATCATGATGCCAGGTCCCACTTGGGTGACCACTGCTGCCCTGACAGATGCCAGCACGGGCAGGAACTCGGGCATCACGTGGCTGGAGAGGCTGACGCAGTCCAAAGCCTGCTGCAGTTTGGCAGAAAATCTTGATTTGTGCTGTTGTGTTGATTTTCTTTTCTCTTTCTCCTTCTCCTTTTCCTTCTTAAATTATTATTATTATTATTATTTAATAAATTAGACAAGGTTCCTTCCCTGACCAAATGAAACCATCTCTTGTTTCTCATTCTTCCCAAAGGTCCTTTTCCTGGATGTCTCCAGTCCCACCTCCTCCTGCCACCCTCCCAGCCACATTGCCCTCTCTGGTCTCTGGAGGTGCCTTGTTTCTTCAGGAATGTCCTCTGCCCCGTGCTGCTTCACTTCTTGCCCCTGAGTGCAATTTCTCTCTGTCAGTGATCTTTGAACCAAGAAAGCATTTTAAAGCACAATACAAAAGCCCAAAGCCATAAAAGGGAAGATTGAGGAATTTTTACTTTTATAAATATAAAACTCCTGTATTGCAGTGTATGTGGTATAACTCAGACTAATTTCCTTAATATACAAAGAGCTCTTGCAAATCATTAATATAGAGAACTAATCCAGTGGAAAAGTGGAGAAAAAAACATTAGTGGACAATTCATGAAAAAGGGAACACAAATAATTACTTAAAAAAATGCTTCTCAGCTTGTTCATAGTGAGCGAAATGCAAAATACCAATGCTAGTGTGGATGAAAATGGGAAAAGGACTTTGCATACCTAATGTGTGTGAGTGATACATTAGCGTATTCCTGGCAGCACAAATTGGCCATATGTATCAAACTTAGCACCACAGATACTCTTTGACCTAGCAGTTCCACTTTAGCAACTTAGCATCCTCGGACTGACACAGATTCACAAAAATGTACTCTTTGTAGCTTCCTTTGGGACAGGGGCTGGTTGGAAACAACCAAACTAAGATCTGAAAATTAAACAAAATATAAAATATTCTGACAATGCGATCTTGTGCAGGCATTAAAAAGAAAGAAGCAAATCTATGTGTCTGTTTGCCAATAAGAAATGATCTCCAAGATGTATTTTAAGAAGAAAGGTGCAAAGTGTGTTACCCCGAGTGTGTTGCCCCTCATCAGCTTGTCAGAAAAGATGGCAGAGATGGGTGAGATTCAACTTTGCGCTGCTGATTTTCTAACAATATGCATGATTCACCTATATTCTTAAAATTCAAAATAGGAACTCATTTTATAATCGTACATTTAATGACCAAAATCCTCATTTATATATGTTTATATATATATATATATATATATATATATAATCTATCTATTTATTTATTTATTTTTAGTTGTAGATAGACACAGTACTTCTATTTTATTTTTATGTGATGCTGAGAATCGAACCCAGTGCCTCCCATGTACAAGGCGAGCACTCTACCACTGAGCTACAACCCTAGCCCTTCATGATATTTTTATGTACACATGAAAGTGAATTTCTATGATCCTCTAAAATGATTTGTAACTATATTATATATCACACCTGTACCATGTCTTGTAGCCACAGTAATGCTCTATTGTAGGTGATGGCTACAATGCAGTATAATTCTGGCATGTCATACATATACATCACATATACATGTGCATTAATAATGATATGAACACAAATAAATACTCTGAATATTTATATTAACTCTCTAAACAGAAAAAAAAAAACTAGATAGAGACTGAAAAAATAATTCTGAATTTTTCTGGGCGTTGAGACTGTAAGCAACTTTATTCCTTTTATGCTTTTGTACACATACATATTTAGAATCTGCCTTGTGAGGGTATATGTGGATATACACACAGCATATCGTCAACATACATCTTTAGGTTCTTTGTTTAGTTTTCTTGTTTCTGTTTTGAAAGCCCTGAGAACATGATCCCATCCTTATGCTTTTACCAGGTGACGCACTTTCACAGGCATTGCTTCCTGCAGGTGTCCCCACACTCTGGAAGAAGCCAGAATCTGTGGTGGAGCCCCATTTTACAGATGAGGTGCAGTCCAGGTCACTGAGAAGGTCACTGAAATGTCAGGGCGGGGCCAGGAGCTACTGACTCACTGACCTCCTGGTGGCCCTGATCTGGAACAGCCCCAGGAAGCATCAAGCGCTCTTGAGGTCCTGGAGATGCATGCTGAACGCGGGGCTCACACAGCTCCAGGAAGGATCCCTTCTGCTTTTCTTCTCCTTCTCCACTTCACCAATGTATTTTTAAAAACCACGATCAGAGATCGCAACACAGATGAGGGCACTGCGTAGAGCATGATGAAAAGTTGGAGAACACACGGGTCCTCTTCTCCCCCGTCCCCGGCTCTGTTCCCTATTTACTGATGTTGGTTTGGTAAACTGGAAAAACCCTCGCGTCTCTGAACCTGGGGCTCCCGATTGGCCCCATGCTGGTGTGCGGGGTCCGCCCTGCCCCCAGGAACCCCAGGACTAGAAGGGAGGCCCCACGTGGACGGGACCTCATCTTTGTGCTCACTGCCCATGGCAGGACGGGGCAGGGCACAGAGGCAAAAGCACTAGTACGTGGTTGGGTGCCAATGGTGATTTTCTCACTGTCCAGCTTCCTGCGACCTCAGATCTCCCGCTGGAGTGATCCCGAGCAGTGGATTTAACATTTTCATTAAGTACTTCCTTGTGTTTCAGCTTAAGATGTTCTAATTTTGTTGACTTACTTCACAAACATTTATTCAGCTCCTGCTATGGCAAGCACCTCAGAAATCGACTTCCTGTGACAGATCACAGGCCGCTGTCACACTGCTGCAGCGGCTTCTTTTTCCTTTCATCTTCCACGGGGTACCTGGGACAATACGCGCTGAGGGCCAGCCCTCTGCAAGGCGGGATGACACAAACCATCCCCGCGCTAGGCGCTAGGCGCATGGAGAAGCTCCACGGTAGCCATGTGCTGGTGGGTTAATGATTAGGAACATCAGTTTCTCAGTGCAACTGGGCACCCAGCTTCGTGAAGAACTTCTTCAGCTTGAGTTTGTTTGGATGAAAACAACATGGTTCCAAATTTCGGTGTAAATCTGAAACCAGACAAGTTTCACACAGTTGCACATTTCAAAAAAGTTCGGCTCCCGTTTGGTAAGTATTCTGTGTATCTGAAAGAAGAAGAAGAAGAAGAAAAAAAAAAAAAAACCTTGTACTTTCCAATTGCAAAATGATTCTTCACTTCCTCTCCAAGCCCTTTAGGAGCATTGAGCCTGTGAGTGTAGACTGGGACGTGTGTGCACCCCAGGATGCTGCAAGTCACTTTGGTGACATGTCAGCTCTGAGGCGTGCTGTACTACCTGCTAGAACAATCTGCTCCCTATAAATACCAAGCGCTCTTCCTTACCCCATGCACCACAGACCTTTAGCCATGATTTCAAACCCAGACCAGCCCATAGGAGAGCCCCGTTCTGAGCTCTCTCTTCACACACCCACACCCACTCCCACACCTACACACACACATCTTTGTCTTTCTGTCCTTCTCTGCATTAACCACATTCTTAAAACCTGGAGATATGCCAATTTTTTTTTTCAAAAAAAAAAAATCGAAAGTTTTTTTTTTTTTTTGGTAATTGAAATTCATGACAAATTACAGACAGTTTTTTTTCCCCCTTCTTCCTTTCTTTTTTAGAACAACGTGTTCTTAGAAAAAGTGTCTACTTTCTGAGATGGAAGAACGTGGGAGTTCAGCGTGTCTGTGGATGGGGCACACCCAACTTGAGGGACCTGTGGCCACCCTGTGCGGAAGAGCACGAGGGTCTGACCCTAAAGTCTCCGGAAGACCCTGTGGAGGTCAGGTGGCCGTGTGGCCAGAGGGGAAAGCAGGTGGCCCTTTATCTTCCCACTGTGTTCTTTTGCTGCCAGCAAGGTAGGCCCAGGTACCCCTGGCGGGAGGGAGCCCAGGCCTTGGCTTTAGCTGGCCAGGTATTCCACAATTCTGTTCCAGGCAAATCAGTGGCCTCCCCAAGTTTATCCCCAAGGCAGGTCTCAAGGAGTTCCTGTTGTCCAGTGGAATCAATGACGTTGCATTTGAGAAAAGGTTTTGTGGGTTTATTCGGTTCGACTGCTTATTTAGGACTGTTCTTATCATTGCTTTTAGTAAATTCCTTTGATAATTTTGTTTCCCCCCAAAGAGATGTTTTCTCTTTTCAAGGCCATACCAAGAATATCACTTTGGCTTATTAATGGAAACCCGGGGTCTTGTAGCTACTGGTTAATTCATTACCCCACAGCACGATTTTAAAAGGCATCTGCAGTGTGGCTGTTTCTTTCATGTCTTTGCATGTGCGTTTGTGCTGTCTGTGCCCTGCCTCTTTATCTCAGTGAGATTTGCGAGAATCCTCATGGAATATTATAGTTTTACTTGTTTTCAAGTCCATTTAAATTTTTAGGTAAATATGCACCAGTTTTTGGAAAAAAGTAAACTGTTTTTTCAGTTTCCCCATTTTTTTTCCTCCTGATGTCTTTAAACATGGAATGGTGGCACTGTAAAACTGCCTGGCAGGGCTGGGGACCGGCAGAGGCAGTGGAGGCAAGCATCCTACCTGCAAAATTCAAGAGTGTTAAAAATTCAGTCATGGAGAGAAATAATCTAATGCAATGTTATTTAAAAAAATGAAAACTGATGCACCAAAATTCACGAAGAACAAAATATTTAACTTTTCAATAAAGACAGGATCTGACGCTGCCCACTGGTTTTAGAAGAATGAAATACACACGCAGGCTTCCGTTATTTCAAAGGCGATTTTGGGAAGCACCTTGGAGGGAATCTCTTATCAAAGGTTTGTGTTTTTCGGATAAAATGTTACAAGCACAGGAGTCGGTTGAGAAGAACCGCTGGCTTCCGGCTCCTCCATCCGGAGGTCACCCCATCAGACACTCCAGCTTTCCCAGCTCAATCTGTTTCCCAGTCCTGGACAAACACTTTTTATTTCTGAAAGCCTCTCGCAGGGGGAGCTAGGGAGTAAGGCACTGCTCAAAGACACTCTCTATAAAGGGACTTTTTTTGTTGTTGCTGGATTTTGATAGCAACTTTTGAGTAGGGCCAAACCGCCTTTGCAGGAATGGGTGGATGGCTGCTAAGGTCATTGTCAAGGACTTGGGATCAATTAGCATGCAGATCAGAGCCTTGGAGTTCAAAGGTATTGTTCCAATTCAATCACATTAGGCAGGGCAGAGATGAACAAGCAGGATGACCTTAATCACCAAGCCTTGCCCACTGTGTGTGTGTGTGTGTGTGTGTGTGTGTGTGTGAGAGAGAGAGAGAGAGAGAGAGAGAGAGAAGACCAGGCTGACTCAATCTGCAAAGAGGAAGCTGCCCCCACCCCTCATTATTTGTGAAAAATAATATGGACATTTCCTTCCATGTATATTTGAGGACTGATTTAATTGGAAGTGAACAAACTGGATCTGGATTGTAAAGCGTGCCTCCACACATACCCAGACGCATTAAAATGCATTTGGAGGGGAAAAAAATAATATCACTAGTATAATGCCAAGGTAAGTTTTTCCCCCTTTTCTTGCAGACAAATCCTATTCAAACTGTGCACAATTCTTTTAAGTCCCTCCAAGTGAGAGGACTTGAAATTCCACATTCTAAAATACAATCTCTGCAGCCCAAACATACCTTTCAACTGTGCAGTTAGAGCCATCATGGAGATAAATGAGGAAATTTTGAATTTTTAAAACATCACAGGAAGAAGAATCCCCCCTCCACCCTTCTCAAAGGAAAACCCAATTATTTCCCTGATTTGTCAGTGTTACACGTTGAATTGTGGGCAAACCAATAGACGCCACGCACTCCCCATGTCCTTAAAAACATCCAGCATGGGAGGTTAGCAACACGGGGCACCCAATGTAAATAAGGTGCGGCCCATCTATAATTATATCTACAGCACACAGGAGATACTTTTATGGTTTGGGTGGAAATGAGGAACGACATGGGGATTAGCCTTTGACAAAAATGTGACATTTAAACAGCTTCACCTGGTTCTGAAAACACTTTGTCCTCCGAGTCGCCGACTATCTGCCTTGGCGTGTAAGTTTGTCTCATCAATTTGGATAAACATTTGCTAAACCCAACAATGACTTCTATTGGAGTGGATTACCCCGGGAAGCTGTAGGCTGTACTAGGGGGAGAACGCCAGAATGCCTCCTCGATATCTTCATTCCCATCGAAAATCAAACGTGATCGGTAACTGAGGTTTTTCCCGAACCCAGTCTCTGCCCCCACCTCCGGCCCTGGGAAGACAGTTAATCATAGCTCAGGAAGATGAAAGATGCGCGTGCAGGGAAACAACTCTCTCGCAGGCAAAGCTGCACCCCAGGGGGTCATGAATGTTGGGGGAGGAACCATGATTCCTTGATGCAATAACATATTGAGACACTTTCGGCTTTACACTCGCTCCCGAGTAAATATAGGACATCTCACCCATGAAGGGTGATTATCTCTCCGGAAAGGAGGAGACCACTTATTAAGGTCTTGTTCCCCAGCAAAAGAAAGAGAGGACTCTCTATGGAGAGAGAAAAACAATCTGGGATTTTTTTTTTACTCCCTATCAAAATATATTTCCTCTTAAAACTGTTTTGGCAGTTGGGTGATTACCATTATTATTATTAATTTTGGACTGAAATTGACTGCGCTTCCAAAGCGGTTTTAATACGTGGAGGTTTCAAAAGGCAATTTCCCCGCTGCGCGGCCTTTCAAGGGTTTTTAGTAGTACTTTTATCTGTGGGTGCAATTAAAGACTTTTAAAAAATGTAAATCTGTCACCCAGACCCATAAAAATATTCATTCACTGTTTGCTATTTTATTTGAAAAACGTTGCTACGGAGCCAGGAAAAACAAAACAAAACACAGGACCCTCGAAACCCAGCGTTTACCCAATTATTCAGAAGCACTGTTTCTCCTTTGATGCTATTATTGTGATGTTTTCCCTGAAATGTGGTCCAAGAGAGACATTTTCTTCTTCTTTTTCTTTCCCCTAAACAAGGTCATAGACTTTCCCCCCTCCATGAAGACCAGAAGCCCCCAGCAGAAGATTAAGTAAGTCCTTGCAGTGATATAAAAGTGAGCGCTTCTTTCCTATAATAAAAGGTGTTTAAAAGGTTCGCTACAGCTTTAAACAGAATTACAATTTACTTCTTTCAAGTGTCCAGGCCATAAATTCTTCTCAATTCCCTCTCTCTCTCCTTGTCGGAATTAATGAGATCAGATCTGATCAGGGCGCTGATGTGTTCAGCGCCAAATCACACAACAGCGCGCGCACCGTAATGGAATTTGCATCTAATGCATACATAAATCAAACATCTTTCTGGACATTTTCATATGCATAATGTCATTTCATCCAGTTCTCTCTGTGCAGAGGGGGAGATTTTTCTCTCTGAGAGAATGACTTTCTTTAATGCTTTCATTTTATTTTCGCTGACTGCAGTCCGGGAGAATGCGCTCGGTCGGAGAATCTTTCGGGGCGCGGTTGACAGTTCCTCTTCCAAGAGGGGTCCTTCACATTTATCATGCCTCTTCCTCGGGGGCTTTGTTATGCAAATGTGGCTGAAATTGATAATTCCAAAGTGCTTCATTTCGGCTCCTCGGCGGTTGGAGATGGTAGATAAAAAGAAACTGACAAGACACTCTGATTGCCCTCAATGCATGTAACTCTCTTGCTAACAAGGCTGGATATTGTTAAAAATTCCTATTGTTATGAGGGTGGCGCTCCCATTATGCAGGCCTTGCAAATTTCTGATTTGAATATTAACCCTTTAATCACCCCACCCCCTCACCCCCTCTTTAAAAAAAAATCAATTGCCATCCAATGTCTTCAGGACCCCAAACATCAAATTATTCTTCTATTATGGTGAACAGCTGGGGTACATTGAAAACACTTCATTAATCATTTGTTCCCAAGGTAAACTTTACATTTATTTTTTCCATGCAAAGAAAGGGGGTGTTATCTCAAGCAAAGGGACCCCCCAAATACCAAGTAAAGGCGTGGGGCCTGGATTGCCTTCCATTTACACAAAGAGCTGGAAATTAATAATTGAGAAGAACAGTTTGTAAAGGAGCTGGCCTTTCTCCCGCCCCTCCTGCTCTGCACAGGGAGGCATCAGTATTTTAACTTGGCCAAGGTTTGCTTTTCTGTTCAGACCAGAGAAGGCCTCAGGGAGGGGATGTGTGTCTACTGTCACCGGAGTTAAGTTTATTTTACCTGTCTGTCCAGGCAAAGGAGAAAAAAAAAAATCTCCCAGGTCCCCCTCTTAGTATAGGAGGAGGGGATGCAGAAATCTGAATACCATTTGGAGGAAGAATTGCAGATTGAGGCAGCTCTGGGCATTAGCATACCAATAAGACCCTGGCAGCACACTGGGTTTGTCGGCAGGAGCTGTGAGCCCTGGGCTGTGCGGCAGGGGGCCCAAGCTCGGGGGCACTTGGGGACTGAGGCCTGGGACTTTTCTCTGGAGCCTAAGGCCTGTGTCTCCCCACTCCCAGGACCGGAAACTGGAAAGGAAGGCCTCCTGTTTACACAAATACACACACACACACACACACACACACTCTTCCCCAGAAAGTGATCAAACCCACGCGTAGCTTCCCTGATTGAAAAACAAACTTAACAGGAACTCACCTGTCAGCTAATTAAAATTCGGCGACTAAAATTTCTTAGCAGCTTTCCCCTGGTGGCTGGTCTCCAGAAATGTCCACCAGGAAATTGGCCTCGAATTGAAACCTTGGAGCCCTTTAGAATTTCGTTTTCTTTTGGAAATGCTGCTAGTTTAGAAAAGGAAACCAGCAGATTGGTGAGTTGCACTTAAGAAAAAAAAATCCCACCCCCCCTCAAAAAATGAGATCCTAAGCATGGAAAAGGCTCCAAGCCTGAGCCTGGACTCACCCTGTGGGGCATGGCCCAGACACCCACTGGGGGCTGCGTTAAATGCTTCCCTTCTCTGTTCTGAAGCAGGAAGTGCGGTGTCAGAGACCACCCAGCCTCCCTGTGGTCTGAACCCCTCAGCCTCCTTCCTGCAGCATCTACTAGTCACCAGGGACGTTCACCAGGACCACACAGCCCTGCACAGGCCTGGGACACACACAGCCCTGTGGGTGCTCAAGGGCTTGGGCTCTTCCCCTGTCAGGCCTTGTGTGCCTGTCACCCTCTGCAAGCCATCTCTTCCTTACTAGTCCACGTAGATTTTCCTTTACTTGGAAACACTAAGCTAAATTTTAATGCTTCTTTATTTTGAGTATCAGCATCTCAGCCTCACCTCTAATTTATATATATATATATATATATATATATATATTTTGATGTATGGCTTCCTAGAAGCAGATTATGTAAAATCGGGGGGCTGGATCTTGCTTGTGTCCTTTGGGCCCACGAACTTGAGAGTCTCTCTGTTCATTGCGTGTTTCTGTCAAGTCCTGATATTTATGCCGGCTGTTATTAATATCGGAGCGCAGCCACGTTTGCGTGATTAAGATTGCAGCCCGCACTCCCTGAACTTAGTGTGAGTCATTAAACCAGCGGGGTATAGTCAAAGTTGCAGTCAAAACAATGCTTGTTCATTAATATCTGCTATGCTCCTCAGCACCAATAATTGTGAAGGTAGCCAGCCCTGCCCTGTCCAAGCCCCTCCCGGAAGGATCAGCTGGATTTTAAAAGCTTACACTTTCCTAGGAAAAGAGAAGCCTTATCTTTAGTTTCACAAGGAGCTTTTAGGATGCAAGATTTAAAGATGCGCCCCTGTGCATTTAATGTCTATTTTATTTTCAATTACACTTTGCAGCGAATCTGAATACCTAACGTTATCTATAGATTGCATGATATCATCAGACACTTGAAAGTGAGTTTTTCTGAGTCTATTTGATTTGAGAGGATGCTTTTCATCTATTTGCAGAATGCTCCCCCACCCCCAGGCCCCAGGTTGCTTTTCTTTTTTTTTTTGTTTTTTTCTTTTTTTAAATAGGAAACTTGGTAGTTTATTTCCGTAGGTGCACTGGCTGACTCGCTGCAGGCCCCAGGTGGCAACCACCTAGGGAATGGGGCTTGGGCAGGGGCATGGACACCCTGGGTCCTAGAAGCCTCTGCCAGGATGAGGGGCCCAGGATGCAGTGCTGTGTGCCCAAGGAAAGGTGTAGGGACGTCCTTGCTCGCTGGCATTTAATTTACCAATTGCCTCAGTGCTGGGGCTTTGGCAGATTCTGCTGGAATCTGAAAGACAGGCTGTCATACCCAGGGCCTGCTGCCGACTGCTGAAATTGAGAAACTTGGCAGATATGCAAACAGTAACTGGGTTTGAGTTGTTTTGATTACAAGTTAAACAGAGAGTCAACGGCAGGGCCAACGTATATCTGCTGAGGTTCTCACTCTCCCTTCTCCTCTTTCTTTCTCTCCTTTCATTTTCTTTCTTCCTCTTGGCAGGATGCATGGAAGTGGCTGGTAATTTCCGCAGAATCAGGTAACATCTTGGCTTTGCAGACTGGGGGTTTCGTGGGGCTAGGAGAAAGGGTCAGGTTCCCCCTTCAGACCCACTTCATGCTGTCCTTACAGTGGGGTGAGTGATGTGAAAGTTAGCCCTGGGTTCAAAGCCTTCAACACATTCAAGGTTTCCCCTCTAGGTGGTCTTCAGAGACAGAGCCCAGAGTTTCTTTCTAACTGTCCCATTATTTAGGGCACGAATGGAGGCTTTTGAGTCTTGAAAATACGCGATGCTGCTCATAGTGAGAAATGGGGTGAAGGTAGTAGAGACAGCTTCTGCTTTCCCTCCATCTGGCCTTTGACCTTTAGCATCTGGCCTTTGACCCTTAGCCCCTGTGTGTTCGGTCACACCCAGAATGTTGGGTGGTGAACCCTATAAGATGCCTTTCCTCCCCAGGGACTGTAGGGGAAAGACAAAAGAAGGAAAAGTAAGAAATCTCAACGGACCTTATGCAGAAGGAAAAAGGCCATTGGCACCCTTGTCACCTGGCTGTCCTCCCTCCTGGGCAAAGCGGCTGCAGCAATCTTCAGGCAAAACCGGGCTAAATTTGGAGGGAGGGCAAGGACGAGGTCTAATTGTTGCTGCCATTGTCTTAGACTGGCTGCCTGGAGGCAGATCTCTGTGAGGCTGTTTCACGTGGCAACAAACACATTTGATTTACAGAAATGAGACTCTTCTGCCCCCTCCCCCAAGTGGGAAGCTGAAACTCTGAATACTGTGACAGAGTTCTTGGAAAGAGCCCAAATATATTGAATCAGACATTTTTTTTTTTTTAATCCACCAATTTGACCATAAAAAACTTTATTGAAAAAAAAAAAAAGACACAAAACAAAACACTGGGCTTTATAATGTATCTCTAAAGAAACAGTTCTGAAAGGGCCTCATTTGGACAAAGTTAATTACTGCACAATAATTGCATTTTAAATTCAGTGTCTTTCTAGATACAGTGAATTTTAAAGCTCATGATTAGGGAAAAAGTAAGTTTCTCCGTGTGCAACTTGTTAATTGCCTTTGTCAGAAACTGATGTCCCAGGACTAACTCTCCCCTTGATGAAAAGAATTGTCCCGAGTCCTGCAACATGGGCCTCACAGACAGGGCAGCTCAAGCTCCTCAGTCCAAGAGCTCAGAACAGCACATGCTGAGGAGGCCAGGTGGGGTCCCCAGGGACCCCGATTGTGGGCCTGATCCCTGTTCACCTGCCACAGACTCTGGGGACATACAAAGGTTAGTAATATTTGGTTGCCTCTCTCCTCCTCACTACACTTTCATCATATTTTTTGTGAATCATGTGTAACACACATCTGACACACAACTCCATCTTAAGCAGTTTCAAGTGCACGATTCATTGTCACTAAAGAGATTCACAATGTTGGACAACCATCATCATCATCTATTGTCAAAAGATTTTATCATATTATATCAGTCAGCTTTTGGTCGCTGTGACCCAAATACCTCACAAGAACAACTTAGAGGAGGAAAACTTACTTTGGCCCACAGTTCTAGAGGTTTCGTCCATGACAGACCTACTCCATTGCTCCAAGTTGAAGCAGAACATCATGGCGGAAGAGTATGGCAGAGGGAAGCTGCTCGTCTCAGGGTGGCTACGAAGCAGAGAGATCAAGGGGAAGGGGTAGAGGGAAGGTGAACCCTGGCAGGGCACCTCCCCCAGTGACTTACCCCTTGATCATGCCCACCTGCCTGCAGTTACCAACACCAGTCAGTCCATTCAAACTGGGAGGGACTGATTAAGTCACTACTCTCATCATTTAATCATTTCACCTGGAAACTTTCCTGCAGTAACACAGGTTTTTTTGGGGGGGACACCTCATAACCAAACCATAACACACCCAGATGAAAATTCGAAGTCTCACTAAGTGTTAAATTCCTTTATTCCCCCTCCCCCAGCCTCCGGTGACCTCCAGTTCTTTGTCTCTATAACTTGGCCAACTCTGGATACTTCCTAACACCGATTCTCCTGAGAATCCTGAAGTATTGTCCTTTTGCTTCTGGCTCACCGTGCTGAGGGTAACGGCTCCAGTGTTTATCCCCGTGACCTACTGCACCAGAAGTTCATGCACTTCTGTGGCTGCTTGTACTCCACTCCCTGGGAGATGCATTTTGTTTACCTGTTCATCTGTTGAGGGGCGCTTGGGTGGGTCCCACCTTGGCTGCATCTCTGGGTTGCGTAGTCATTCTGCTTTTAACTTTTTGAGGAACTGGATGGTCCATTTTACAGAAGAGAAAAGTAGGGTTTTGGGGGGGAATTAAATCACTGGTTGAATATGTATAAATAGCCCGTTGCAGGGTGTGACGCTGGATCTGTCTGGCTTGGAAGTTGGGGTCTTCCGCCCTGCCCAAGTCTCTCCTCAAACGTGAGAGCTCCTTCTTGGTCTTCAGGAGGATGTCCATCAACTGTAAGTGTCCACACCAGAGGACAAAGCCCCGCCCCCTACCCACCCCTGCCCCCGGCAACACAGGGACCTCTCTGAGCCTCCCTTCACCTGCAAACTTGGAGCTGAGCAGGGCTGGCATCAAGGTGGTGAGTTTTGAGTAAGTTGTACAGGAACAACAAACACGTCATTCAGTTTGGTCAAGGGCAGTGAAATATTTGGCTGTAGGAATACTGCTGAACTAAAATGACGTGGGGACTTCCAATCCCCTTTCCCCCTTTTCTGGATTCCTGATGCCTCTCTTCCCTTCTGTGAGCACAAATCCCAGGTGCTCTGGAGAGCATGCAGCCTCTGTTCCAGCCGTGCGTTCTGCGCCTCGGGCTGGTGAGGTCCAGGTTCTAAGCATCCCAGGGCCGTGTCAGTGGAGACGGCGTATTTTATAGCTAACATCCTGAGTGCTTAAAAGTTTTTTCTGTGCTGATTCCACGTGGAAAGCTTTCAGCTGGATTGATTTGATGAGGTAACATTTCAAAAGCCTGCTTCCAGGGCTGGGGATGTGGCTCAAGTGGTAGCGCGCTCGCCTGGCATGTGTGCGGCCCGGGTTTGATTCTCAGCACCA